AATCAAGCTTAATTTTATCGAATAAATTGGTTTTGATGGTGGTGGTGGTGGTGGTGGTTATTTGAAATGTTTCAAGATGTTTTTACATTGTTGTCTGGCTGGATGGCCAATAAACATTTGAAAAAACAAGGCAAAATGAAGAAAAATTTCTCTTTCAATTCTATTTCATTGATCCATTTGAGGGCAAAAAAAATCTATTTAATTAACCCTGCGTTTAATTTGTTTCTACTAATAGCAATTGCAAGAAAGAATGAAATTTTTTTCGGGGGGAATAAATCGATTAACCATCGATGATCATTATTCAGTGTGGTCAATCAGTTTTAATGATTATAATGAAAAAAACAATATGGATTTCGTAATTTATTATATAATCAGAAAAACGAAAAACGAAAAAGAATTTCCAGGAGCGACTTGAATGCTTTTTTTTTGCTAATCCAATTTTGTGAAAATTCAGTCAAAGCAAAGACAAAACAACGAAATAGATCGGTCGATTGATACATATGGATCAAAGAGTTGAGACAACAAACAACAACAACAACTGATGCATATGCATTTGAAACTGAAATGGAGATTTTTCCAATACTAAAATGGATACTATGATCTTGATTTCAACAACAACAGAAAATATAACAATGAAAAATTGTATAACAAGCCCAAAGATTAGGCCCCAAAATGAAGTAATTTTTTTTCGTTATTTTTGTTGTTGTTGTTGTTGTAATCTTCAGTAGTTTACAAATAATAATAATCATTTTATCAACAACAACAACAACAAATGGATACAAATTGACTATTTCAATATTTCTTTTGGATCTGAATTTGATTTGATAATAGATTTGTTGTCTATTGATGTTTATTTTGTTTCCAATTGAAAAATCACATGAATTTCAATAATTTTGAATTTTTATTCTCGTTTAAAATCACACACACAAACACACAAAAATCGATTAACAAATTATTACTGAAAAATGAAGATATGTTTTACTTTGTTTCTGATTTCGAAATTTAATAACAAAAAAAATTTTTTTTTGTTTTTTTTGGAACATCATTGTTAATATTGGCGATAAGACGATTATTTGTGTGTGTGTGTGTGTGTTATTTTCAAATGAAATTAAAAAAAAACAATTTAAAATTTTGAAAATAATACGATCAAACAACAGCGCGAATAAAAATTGTTTCTTTTTTTTTGTTGTTGTGAAAATTAGCAAAATTTTCATTTAACGTTTTTCAAATTTCATT